TTTTTTTATATTAAGTTAACTACTCTTCTAACTTAAGAGACTTTTATAGAGCTTGTTAAGACATATCTAATAGTAGTTAAATTATCTAAATTAGCCTGGTGAATGCCAAGATATCTTTAAAAAGCCTTTCTTTAACTATATAAATTTCTTTAAAACAATACTATTGTTTTACAAAAAAATATATATAGTTAAAGAAAAGTTTTTTAAAGATATCTCGGTATTCACCAGGCTAATTTAGATAATTTAACCACAATTAGATATATCTTAACAGGCTCTACAAAAGTCTTTTAAGTTAGAAAAGTAGTTAACATAGTATAAAAAAAGTTTTAGATTCATACATGATACATTTATATAGCCTCAATTTCTATAAGTAATCTGTATCATATTTTACTATAATCACTCTCTGGTTAACTTGTGAATAACTAATTAAAAGATTTACTTAACCAATTTTAATATTTTAATCACTATTTTAATTATAAAATACTTATTTACTACTTAGAGTTAAAAAAAGATATATTTAATAAAAAAAAATTTTTTTAAAAAACTTCAAATTCTAAAAACAATAAAAAATATATCTTTACTGTTTAATAGTTAACTAGTACAGTCAACCCTCTATATAGTTTTTTTTTTTTAGTATTAAGATGACCTCTTTGATCATGAGAACTTTTTATTAGTAATCATTTATTATTACAGTTATAATAAAGATACAACTAGCCACATATATACTTTTTGAATACCTATTTAAGTAGTTTGCTCGCAGGTTTTATACTAGATGCTATATCTATAACCCAACTAGGGAGTTACCCATTTAAACCTTCTAATTATAACCATTTTTAGCATATCATACTAACTGGAAACTACCATCTGGCTTATTCTACTATATTGTACATCTTGCCTTAGAACTTCTATGACTTATCCTGAGTTTGCACTGACTAATTACTGGCTTGCATTTTTCTGTTGAGCAGATGCAAGGCTATCCTTGAGGTAAACCTACCAGAGCCTTCCATATCCTGTATCTGGCTAACCCAGTCATCACAGTTGCTGAGACTCCTACTCACAGTTTGATATAATCTAATTGAATTGCTATACTCTTGTAAGGTTCACTTCAACCTCAATACTCATATTCAGGTTTTCTTTTTTCTATTCTTGCCTTATTGGTCTCTCCCTTACTCTCAACCTGTGATCCAAAGAATTTAACCCTGGCTAGGCTCTAGGTGCTTTGTGCCCTGTCTCATCATGGTATATGATTTTATAGCATATATTCTTTTTCTCTAATTGGGTCTGGCTAGTTTTCAGAAATTGCCCAGCCCTTGTTGTCAGGTAGAACCTAACTTCCAAATCCTAGTCATAGTGGATGACCACCTTGGTTTCTTATACTAGCTAACTAGATTAGTATGATAGCTTTCTCTTTAATTGGTGGTCAGATTGGTGAATCTCTTCTACTAAAGATCTTGTTGTTATTTGGTTCTTCAATCTTAGCATCACTTTCAAATTTGACCTTCCTGTAGCACCATTGAAAGTATCCACTACCTTCTTACTCAGGTCTTTTCAAATAGGTTTTGATTATCCTGGTTTTTTGGCATTTCTGCACTGAAGCTATCATAATAAGATTGTACAACCAAAATTACAGATTGTAGTTCTAACTGATCAATAGATAATTGTTACCTAATGCAAATCTATTTTTCAAAAAATATCATCTATGGGATTTGAACACTAGATCTGCTACTTGGTGGAGTGATAACTAGACCACTTCACTAAGCTACTACACTCACCTTCTATATAGTTATCTTTTATATAATCATATTATATATAATAATATTTTAATTTATAATTTAATTTATAAGAAAAAAACTTTTATATAAATGCAATCTTTTTATAAGCATATTTTTTAAAAAATTTACTATATACCTAACTTTATAAATATATAGAAGAACAACTATATTGTAGTAAAAAATTAATTTATCTTTAAGAAAACTCCAACTTTTTTTAAAAAAACAGAATTTATATCCTATAGTTACTATATTTTTTTACTAATTTTCTAGTAGATTACAAATTAATTTTAAATAAATTTTTCTTATTTTATAAAAATAAAACAATATAATCTTCTAGTATATAAAGCTTTTATTTATTAAAAAAAAAACAATCTAGTTTAATAAATCAAAATAAGTATAATTAATATTTAATTATACTTAAAAATATAATAATTTATAACCCAAATTTTAATATAAATTTAAAATTTTTATATTAGTATAACTGAAAAACTTTATATAATAACTAAAAATAATTTAAAAATACAAGTTTGTTCTATTTATATATAATTTAAAAATTGTATTTTTACTTTTAATTTTTATTTAATTTATAACTTTATAAACTAGTAACAAAATATCTTTTAAGAGTGTGGTAACTTAGTAAAGTAGTAGAGTTGTTACACCTCCCAAGCAGCTTGACTATAGTACTGAGTTTGAATTCTACTGGAAACATTTCAGACAAAAATACCTGTGTTATGATAACTGATTTCTCAAATTGGGTTGGGTTTATAACCTGTTACTGGGTTATACTAATGCACCTGGGTGCTAAAAGCTTCTGAAAGCATTTGTATCATTGTATAAAGTAATACAAACTAGTACAAATAGTGCAAACTCACGATAAGCTTTCTAAAGAACAAAAAATGTTAAAAGTATCTACATACAAAACTTAGAGATTCAAAACTAGCTTGGAGAGCTTCAAGTCTTGGAGAAGTCCTGAGTAAGAATTAGCGGCTTTTAATAGTACTACAAAAGCAATTCTAAAATAGAAATTTGAATGACAAAGATTTTTAGACAAAAAGATATACTAACTAAACCAACGGTATCACTAAAGCTGTACTAGATATATATTCATTAGTTACTTTAGTATAGAGTGTCTAGTGGAAGATCCTAGGATGGGATTCCAGAGAAAAAGAACTTGCATTATAAAAGCTTATACCAAGAATTAGAAGACCTTTAGACCTGAGATTGGGACCCTTGGGTCTAGACAGACCAAACCTTCCAAGCTATCTGAATTGGAAGACCAAAGACCAAAGTATAGAGTATAGGTATTGGGGTTATAAACCTTACAAGGGGTGGAAAGTAAGTAATAGAAGAACTAATTAGGAAGATTGTACTTGAGATATGGATTGTATTATAGCAGCACCCCAAAAGGTAGTATGAGATACAAACACAATAGCAACAGACAATATGTACTAATTGGGAAGAATATTACTAAATGAGCATTCACCATGTGTGGAACATGATATGTGGTATCAGATTTACCTCAAAGATTAACTAAAAAGAGTTCTAAGGTGGGTGCTAAAAGCTAGAGGTATTACAAAATCTACGTATGAATAGTAAGTTATACCCAGGTTGGATATAAGGGCTTTGTAGAAAGTTTAAATAGGTAACTCTATAGTTGGGTTGCAGGTATAGCAAATAGTGTAAAACCTTTAGGTAGACCACTTAAATTAGGCACCAAAAGTGCATATGTGGCTAGTTGTACTTTCATCATAATTGTAATAAGTTTTAAATATCTAATAAAACAGTTCCTAGCCAAAGAGGTTACCTTAACAGTAAATATATATATATATATATCTTTTTTTAACTTTTAACAAAAGTTGTTAAAAAAAAATTTTGTATATAATAATAGTTAAAATATTAAAAAAGGCCTAGTAGATTATAGGATATGGTATTTTTGTTTTAAGAAATAAACACATAGTTATAAAGTTAAAAATATCTATATCTCAAGATCTATTAGACCTATTTTAATATTTTAACTACTATTATGCTTGGGATTCTCTTTTCTACAACTTTGTTAGAAGTTGAAGGAGTTGCTTAGTAAAAAATTAATTTATCCTTTGGAAACTCTAGATTTCAAAAACAATAGTAAATTTTTAACAGTTTACTATATTTTTTTCACTAGTTTTCTGGCACATTATTAATAAACATTCAAATACTTATTTATTTTTTTTTAAACATCAATTATTTACAGTTATTGTATGAGTATGTATGAATAACCTAGTTAAACATGGGTTCATACTCCGTGCCAAAGTTACAAGATCTAAATATGAACCCGTGTGTGTAATTGGGTTATTCATATACCCAATATAATAATTATCTTATTGCATAGTGTCTGATATACAACCCCACCCATGTCAATAAGTAAATGAAAAAAGCATAGTTGTCACATAAAACCCGTGCAATAAAAATATGACATACAGAAATATATTAAATTTTGGGATCAAGTGACGACCCCTTCCATTTGCCACTGGGGTGTGACTAGGGTGCGGAACGGGCCGGGCTAAGCCCAGAAATTTTCGGGCCGGGCCGGGCTTTGGTCCGATTCGGGCCTACAATTTTGAGCCCGCTATTGTTCGGGCCAAATACAAATCGGGCTTATTAAATATCGGGCCAGGTTTAGGCTTTATAAGAAAGCCCGATTAGGCCCGATAATACCCGGTAAACTTATAGTTAGTGTTGCTGTAAATACTTTTATAGTACAACTAGGGTTGTAACAATTGCGATTTTTAAATATAATATTCAATAAAAACCACTATTTATAAAAATGTCATAATATCATAATGCTGTAAGCACGTCTGTAGTCAGACAGGTTATTCTACTAACATCAATCACTGTCCAGCTATGACTTCTAGAACCCTTCTAAATCATAATAAATAGGCTATTGTATATGAGTGCCGCACCATTTAATTATATTCTGTATCGGACACAATCTCTAACAAATTAGACTGTTGTGTCTGATACAAAATATAATTAAAGCCCGAAGTCAGGTTTTCCCTTGGCGGTACTCATATAGTGATTATTTTAATATAAAGAACGATTTGATCGTATTTAATTATTCTTTTCTTTTTCCGATTCAAAGCTATAGTATTTAAAGTCGGATCTTTGTTCATGGAGTTATTTCTTGAAGATTAACGTCATGGCGAAATCGGTTTTCTGGTGAAAATTGGTATATGGTGTGATGATTGGAGAATGCCTAAATTGAAGAGAATGGTTAACGAAAAAATGAATGAATAAATAAATAAAATAAAAAATGCAGTAACACTTATCGCTTGGTATCGTTCGAAAGTTTGGCAGTCACGTGACTCAAGCACGATCATTGAACCATTATTCATTTGGTGTAAGTGTAGCATCGATTAAGGCAAATAAAAAATGTTTAATCAGAATTGAAGTTAAATAGTCATAGGCAGAATTTGTCTGATTGGCTGTTTAGAGTACTCTTTTAAAATCGAAAACTAATCATAATGAAATAAAAAAGCTGTGTAGAAGGTTTCAATAGAACTGTAGGACTCCATAGCCAAAAATATGATCTAATTCTCGTCCATTTAAAAAAGTTTGTATAGTAATAACTTCTCAAAACCCGATAAAATCAACTTATTACTAAGCTAATTTTTTTAAACGGACGAGAATTAGATCTTTTTTTTTTTATTTCATTTCATTATGATTAGTTTTCATTTTTTAAAAAGTACTCTAAACTGTATAGATAATGTAAAATTAAATTGAATTTATTAGCCAATCAGGCCTATGAGTCAAATAGAGCATAGGAAATTAAATTAAATGAAATAATTGACGTAATCGATTTGAATCCAAATATTGTATATAAAGGATATGAAAAAAGTTACTTTTTACTTAGTCTTAAATAAAATCAATTAACGTTAATATATACCCTTATTTGTCTCCAGTTATCGTTATGTATGCCATAGAGGACTGCGAGATCGAATGCATGAAATACAGGTTTTTCGATGGCTACTAACACTAATTAGTAATTAGACTTTCCTTTATAGTATTCAAATAAGAATATACGGGATTTTCAATAGCTACTAACGCTAAACATGTATTACCAGGATTTTTCGATGTCTACTAACGCTAATTAAAGAGACTTTCCTTTATAGTATTATAAGAACATTCAAATAAGCATGTATCAACAGGGTTTTTTGAGAGTTACTAACGCTAATTGGTAATTATCATAATATGAGTTGAAGAGACTTTCCTTTATAATATTATAAGAACATTCAAATAAGCATGTACCAACAGGATTTTTTGATGGCCACTAATGCCACTTAGTAATTATCATAATATAAGTTAAAGAGACTTTCCTTTATAGTACTATAAGAACATTCGAAGGTACGAGATTCAAGACTGTGAATAAGGTAAAAAGCCGTCTGGGAAGTTGATTCAGCTTCGTTCTTACTAGTATGTACGTACACACGCAAAGAATTGAGTCTCAGGAGTCAGGCGAGAGTGTCTGGTGTAAGTGTATAAGTTAAAAAGAATGTGTTATTGTAACAATTATCTAAAAACTTCAAGTAGAAAGAAATATAAAATACAACATACTGTTAGCATAGACAAAAAAATAAACTTAAAAAAATTTTTTTTTTTTGTTATTTTAAATAGACAAATTGTTTGTAATAACAAAAAGTTTTACATTCAACGCCAGTGTTAGTATATGTATATACTGGAGTTCATTGACCAAATGTTGCTTATTATAGTGTGATCTGAATACGAAGAATCCTATTCAAAAAACTAACATCGATACATCTCAAGATTGTAAAGTTAGTAAAATAAAATTTTTTATTAATTCAAGCAATGCAGTTATAATAATGTATTTACTTTTAGATTGATTCGATTATAATATTGATACATAGAAAATGGATGACGGTATGCTGATATATATTCTAAATTAGATTTATTAAGTTAGTACGTATTAACTTTTACTTATTATAAATAGAAATACAAAACAATTCTGCAATAAGTGAAGGGGAAAGCCCGGAAATATCAAATATTGACGAAAATTCAGAGGAAACTGCTGTTAATGAAAACTCCGGAGTAACTATTACTAACAAAAAACGTAAAACATGCAAGGAACCATCTTGGGTGTTTAAAGAAGAACATTTTAAACCTAACCCTTCAAAAAGTAAAAATTTATTTTAGGCTATACTGTACCACAAAATCCCGACATCCAAATCTCGAAAACCATAATCTAGACACGACAATTAATATTTAAAGATTAGTAATCACATTAACAATTATTGTCAGACTTTAATTGTACGTCGTGCATGTCAGCATTATGATCTATCGAAATTTTGGATGTCAGGATTTTGTGGTAAAACCTTTATTTTATTATATTATAATTTTCTATTATATAATATCTATAAAATATAATTTTTTAGTTGGTTATGTTCAATGTATGCATTGCAAAAATAATTTAAAGTATGAAAGTGAATCAGGAACCAGCTCTTTAATTCGGCATATGAAAAACACAAAATGTAAAAAATATCTTAAAGTTGACGAATCACAACAAACGTTGAAATTAGGTACATCAGGTCTTACTACATATAAATTTTCTCAAGAAAGAAGTCGTGAAGACTTGTCAAAAATGATCATGATGCATGGATACTCATTTCATATGGTTGAACATGAAGGATTCCTAACCTTTGTTAAAAATTTGTGGCCAGAATTTAAGATGATGTGTGAGAAGACAATATGTGAAGATTGTAGTGATATTGTTGATGATCTTAAAGTAAATGTGCATACAATGATACAAGAGGCACCCGGATATTTGTGTTATACAACTGATTTATGGACATCGATTCAGACTGTTGGATACATAGTAGTTACATGCCACTTTATAGATAAAGACTGGAAGCTTCAAAAAATAGTTTTAGCATTTAAGAAGGTTCCTGCGCCACATACGGGTGTCGCTATCAGTGAAACGCTTTCTAATTGTTTTAATGATTGGTAAATACTTTAATAATTCTTTTTTTTTTTTTTTTTTTTTTATCATAAACCTTAAATCAAATAAATATTAAGAAGTAAATCGTGGTTGAAGGGTATAAAAAAATAGTCAGAAATTATTATAATTTTCTATAATGTTAGAATGTAGTTAGGTTACAATAAAAGATTTTATTTGATTAAGTAAACTTTTATTACACTTCTAATAAAAATTATATAGTAAGCTATTCCACTCTAGTGGTGGTAGAATTATTGAAATATGGTTAGTATTTTACGAAGTATTATCCATATTCTTTTTGTAACTATATGAATTTTACTTATTGTCAGAAACTTTCGACATTCCATCACTCTACCAATTTTCACTGAGTTTCATACTTTTCAGCTGCGATTTACCATAAATTTTATAATTGTAAAAATACTAACTACTACTAAAAAAATATTAAACAAACTACTAGGGGTATTATGTCAAAAATATTGGCAATTACTACTGATAACGCGACCAGTAATGATGCTGCGATGGCTAATCTAAAACGTAAACTTGAGGAACAGAACATGCTTATCGCTAATGGATATTTATTACACCAACGCTGTTGTGCCCACATAGTGAACCTTATTGTTAACGATGGTTTTAAGAAAGTTAAAAGTATCATATGCAAAATTAGAGAGTGTGTAAAGTGGATTGATGGTTCACAACGTCGACAACAAAATTTTGAGGATGCTATAATCGGGTGTGGTAATGAACTTGCATCAAATCGACGACCAACTCTTGATGTACCTACCCGTTGGAACTCTGTATATCTAATACTCATGTCCACTATTCCTTATAAAGATGTGTTTGAGCGTCTTGCATTACGAGACACAGACTTCGGGCAAATTATGCCTTCTGATGAAGACTGGAAAAAAGCTAAAAGCGTTTGTAATTTCTTGAAACCATTTTATGAAGGCAATTTTTTTTTCTTTTGCTTAAATCCGTCTTATGTGAAAGCAATATTAATCTTAATATATTATAATATTTATAAGGTAAATCGTGGTTAAAAAGTATAATAATAGTAAATATGATAGTAGAAATTGTCAGAAGTTTATATAGTTTTTCTATAGGATTGGAATGCAGCTATCATAGCTAACAAATAATAGTTTTTTATGCCAAGTAAACCTTTCTTGAGTTTCTAACAAAGATTATAGAGCAAGCTATTCTGATTCTAATAGTAGTAGAATTATCCAAATTGGTTTGGTAAATCGCGAGTTATCTGCATTTTTTCCTTTATAACTATATAATTTTTACATATTGCCAGAAACTTTCAGCATCCCAACATTATATGATTCTCCGCCAATTTTTACTATAAAATTTATACCCTTCAACTGCGATTTACCACTTATACTTTTATATTGTACTAACTTATTCTTTAATTCTATAGTTACGAATCTTATTTCAGGAAGCACATATTCCACAGCTAATATTTTTCTTCCTCACGTGGTGAAAATTAAGCTACATCTTGAACAAAATGCTGTTAATACAGATCTATTTATTTGTCAAATGGTAGAACCGATGCGATCCAAATTCGATAAATATTGGTCAGATATAGGTGATATGCATTGTATTGCTTCCATTATGGACCCTCGCTATAAGATGTTACTATTAACTCACATATATAAACAAAAAATGCACTTGTCGTGCACTGAAGCAGAGAAAATGCTAGATGTTATTAAAACAAGGTATGTTGAGCTTAAGGATGGTTTCAAAATTCAAAAAAAGAAATTCAAAAAATAATTAATAATCAGGTGATATTGTAATTTTCTTTTTTGAATTTCAGAGCCATCCTTAATTGGGCTATACTGATACAAAATAAATTTCTTGGTTTAATTAATAACGATAATACGTATAAACAGGATCCATTTTATGTACTTCACCGACAATCATTTAATTATTGTCGCGGATCATAATGAAATCGGATTAAAATGAAATTTGAAGTTTCTATTTAACCCCTAAAACCCACTTATACTTGTTTAATATAAATTCTACTCCTAAAGCTGACCCCTAACGCTAAAAAAGAGCTAAAAAAATGCATCAAAATTTTGTATTTTTCGGTGGCTTATCTATTTCGCATTATATAAAATTTCATTTTAATCTGATTTCATTTTAATCTGCCACGATTATTGACAGCTTCATTTAGCCAATATCATGCTAAGTGATAATTTACAAAAATATATTACTGCAGCTAACCAAATGCTGACTCTAACCCTATATGATATTGGCTAAATGAACTTCTGGTAAAATGATTGTCAGTAAAACGAGTGCCGGGCAGTCATAATCAGATTTAATTTAAGATTTTTAAAACCGAGATATTAATTTTGTATAACTTTATTTAATATTTGAAATATACAATTTTATAATTTTTGCTTTTCATAGAGCTACAGAGATCTATAAATTAGAATATGCGCCAAACGGAG